AAAAAAAAAAAAAAAAAAAAAAAACAAACAAAAAAGAAGATAGCAAGGCTCTAGGCAGTGGCAGTTGAAAACTTCCTTATTCTGAGCATGAGAGTTAGTTCATGAAAAGGGGAAAGATTTGAAGTGTCAACATTCAGAAAAGGAATGAAATTCTCTCTCATGGACTAAAGGACTAAGGGGCAGAGTTGCAAAGAAAAGATGATCTGAAGCAATGGTTTATGGTCTGAATATCTTGTAATCAGTTGCATCAAAATCTTGTATCATTAGCCAGACTTCCTTTTGTCCTTGTTCGAAGTGGACCTTTTGATCGTCCTAACCATGCTTGAATCTAATGAAATAAATCTTTGCTATTGTTTTGTGCGCTTTCTACTCTAGCCTTGCCTTTTATTCAGTATTTGGAATGCTAGTTAAACATGAGACTATATTTCAGTTAATATAATTGCTTATCTAATCAAAATCTCTTGATGAATTTGAAAGGTTGGATGAGAATCACAGGGAGAAAGGAAGCTGAGTTCGATGGCTAAGGAGTCATCCATGCTAGTTGAAACTCCAATAGCAAATGAAAGTTCAACTTATTGGGGCAATATTTTCAGATATCTCCTCATGGGAAACAAATGAGATTCTACCTCTTACGTTCGATAAAGTACACATGAATGTGAATCTACTCAGCTATTGCACAGAGATAATCACAGGTTGATGAATACACAACCTGAAGGACACTGAACTCTTGCCAAATATGCTCAGGGAAGTTTCTTAACCTCTCTTCATTTTACATCATCTCTTATGTGAAAGTAGTCTCACTTGTATCTGTTTCATTGTTACAGAGCGTGCAAACATCACTTTCCTCTGGCCTTGAGCTGCGTTTATCATCATCTGGGCCTCATTGCCACTCAACTTGCTCGGTCATTCGACCGTTGTGGCTTTTTAGCCATTCTGATATCAACTTTTTCGGTCATTCGACCGTTGCAATTTCTTAACTGTTCAAGATCAACTCATTTAAAATCAATTCATCTAAGATCAACTCAGCTAAAATCAGCTCATTTAAGATCAAAACCATTTAAGATTAACTTGTTTAAGATCAACTTACTCAATTGGCTTGGTCGTTTGACCTTAGCTACTCAATTGGCTCGGTCGTTTGACCGTAGCTACCCAACTCGCTCGGTCGTTTGACCGTAGCTACCCAACTTGCTCAGTCGTTTGACTGTTGCAACTCAAATTTTAAGATCAAGTCATTTAAGATCAAGTCAGTTAAGATCAAGTCATTTAAGATCAAGTCATTGAAGATCAAATCATTTAAGATCAACTCACTTAAGATCAACTTGTTCGGTCATTCGACCGTTGCGGTTTCACAGCCGTTTTTACTTTACTTGTTCGGTCATTCGACCGTTGCGGTTTTATAACCGTTTTTACTTTACTTGTTCGGTCATTCGACCGTTGCGGTTCCATAACCGTTTTTACTTTACTTGTTCGGTCATTCGACCGTTGTGGTTTCTTAACCGTTTTTACTTTACTTGTTCGGTCATTCGATCGTTGCAGTTTCTTAACCGTTTTTACTTTACTTGTTCGGTCATTCGACCGTTGCTGTTT